AACAGTGTGTACCAGTGTCTGTTTTCTCACATTCACGTCAGAATTTGTTATTTATCGTGGCAATGGTCATTCTAACAGGGTGAGATGGAATCTTTAAGATTTGGTCTGCATCTACCTGATAGCTATATATACAGAAGTCTTTGTCAACATGACTTCAGGAGTACCCAATCTAACTGCACAGTCTAATCAGGAGACATGAGTGTACAAACATACCTGATACCTACTGACTTTAAATCCTTCATGGAACTAAATTAGGAAAAGCTAAAAGAAATGATCAAGGGGTTGGGAATTTAGCTCACTGGTACAGGGCTTGCTAGGTTCATACCTCATCCACGGGGTTGTGGGGGGGGGGAGTGATCAAATATTCTGATTTATACCACACACCAAAATTACACCAACATGAATTAACTCGACAGGTTCATAAGCAGCAACAACAATGAAGCAGAAATAAATGCACCCTGATTAAAAAGAAAACCCTAAGGGCAGATTGGATCCTCACAGGATTATGTCAGAATATCAGAGGATAACTGTTATTTAAAGCATTCCTTGATGTAAAATGGAGGCAAGGATTCCATATTCATTATGAAGTTAAAACTAGCTGATAACAGCCAGGCGGTGGTGGCACACACCTTTAATCTCAGCATTTGGGAGGCAGAGCCAGGCCGATCTCTGTGAGTTCAAGGCCAACCTGGGCTACAGGGTGAGTTCCAGGACATGCACCAAAACTACACAGAAAAACCCTGTCTCAAAAACAAAACCAAAAAAAAAAAAATTTTTTCCTGATAACAAACCAGATAAAGTGGAAAAATGAAAAATTTTAACTTTTATTATCTTTTTGCCATTTCACGTGATATACTTTGCTTATTACACACTCTGATCCTTTACTTCATACAGTCCTGGCCCATACACATCCTTCTCTCTGTCTCCCTCCCTCTCTATCCCCATCTCTCTTTCTCTCATTCCATAACTCTCTCTCATGTTCATTTCTACTCATTTTGCTTTTGACCCACAGAGATTAACCAGGGCCATCTGTGAGAATGTGGGTTTGGAGCTGTGTGTTGGAGCCTGTTGGACTTAGCAGAAGAGACACAAGTAAAGACAGTGATTCCCCTTCTCCTAAAATCTCTCCATAGCCACAGTTGAGAGCTAAAGGGAGGGGCCCTGTGAGCCTCTCCCCCTCCTAGGCTGATTGTGTCCAGGGCTGGCCTTGACTGAGCCCAGTGCAGGTGAGTACAGGTGCTCTGGGTTACTGATTACAACAGCTGTGTGGAGTCTAGAGCATGACATGTCCTGGCCGGTCCCATGTTTGTTTTCTTATTTCCTTCCCACTGCCCCTTCCTCAGTATTCCCAGAGCATTGATGGGATAGTGTAACTGAGCTGTTGAAGGCTGTGCCCATTTCAATGGCTTAGTTTATGCATCTTGAACAGCCACAAGCTTCTACATTCACCTCTGAGTTTTCTGTGTTTTCCATAAAAGCACCTTCAGTATCCTTCCCAGAAGACCAACTTGTTTCCATGTTAGCACAAGCACAACATCCCCATCTCACAGCACAGCATGACTTCAGCCTTGGGCTGTTAATGGTCTGACTGACCACTGACTTCCTGAGATTCCTATTTCCTTCCTTTTCTTTCTTTCTTTTTTCAAGACAGGGTTTCTCTGTGTAGCTTTGCGCCTGTCCTCGATCTCGTTCTTGTAGCCCAGGCTGGTGTAGAACTCACAAATATCTGCCTGCCTCTGCCTCCCAAGTGCTGGGATTAAAGGCGTGTGCTGCCGCCGCCGCCGCCGCCGCCGCCGCCACCACCACTAGGTCCCATTTCCTTTCTAAACCCTGAGTTACTGAAATGTCTTCCCCCAAGTCAACGTTGCTAATAGTGTAATTCTGGATAGTTGAGTGGCAGTAGTGGAGGTCTGTGAGGGAAGGATAAAGATGGCTTTTTAGTGTCACTTCATTTGCATAGCGGTGGAAACAATTATCCAGCTTCCCAGGAAAGCTCTCCAGAGTGAGGCACTGTTTCAAAAATTTAGAATATTTCAAATAAGTGTAGAATATACAGATGGAACTCCTCTCTTATCTTTAACTAGTGCTACTTGCATGGAGCATTTTTATTTTAATTCTTTATTTCCTTTGAGCTATCCAGCTCTTCTACCTTGTCTTCAAGACCGATATTCTGTCTCCTACCTCATTGATCTATTTGAGGTATTATTATTATTCGGATTTTTTTCATTTTTTATTTCTTGTTTCATGTTGGATCCTGACCCTCCACCCCTTCCTTGGGTGACTGCTGCCTTGCTTGCTGACCTTGATGAGATGTCCTCCCTGTGCTAATTCCCTGCTGGTTTCCTTCCTCCTAAACAGTTTAAGGGAGGTTCTTTGTTTGTGTATCCTGCATTTTGGTGTAAACAGCTAGGATGCAAGAATGTAAAACATCTATAGCGAACTTCTGCCCTCCAGGGTTCTCCCACTGTGCTGTAAGCCAGTGTTTAAGGCCTCTTCCCTCCTTCAATAAACGGCATTCTAAAGAGAAGAAGGACCCTTGGTCTTGTCTCTGTTTTAATCCTCAGCCCCTTGCTGGGACATGGTGAAGGGGTAGTAGCATGGGCGCTACAGTTTCATTTCAGTTTGGATTTTTTTTTTTGGTGTTTCTAAGTACTTACAGAATTTAATTTGCATATTCTACAATGTCTTCACATCCTTCAGGCATTTGCTAGTGTTTTCTTGCCCACAGATAATTTTTTTCCCAATCTTCTTTGAGTTGATTCACTTGCTTTACATGTTTTGAGCATTTTGGACATGACTCTTGTTTTTGAATTCTGCATATTGGATATCATTTAACTTCTTTCCTTAGGGGATACAGATATGGTTTGTATTTTTGAGCCTAGAGCGTTTTATTTTAGTTTTAATTTGTTTTGGGAATGGGACTTGGGCATCAGAACTTGGGGCGTTTGTTTTCTTTTGCTGTGCATTTTAACCCAGGAAGCTGTTATCCCAATATGAGAACTGAGGCGGGATAACTTGTATCTGACGGGGTCAGAGCACAGGGTCAGAACCCCAGGTGCAGCGTCCACCTAGATGCAGTTCTGGTCTAGGCTGGCAGCGAGCATGTGGGGAGGCTATGCAGAGCGGGTGCAGGGCAGCCTGACAGCTGGAGCTGTGTGGGAGGCAGCCTGAGACCGGGTGGGAGGGACGGGTCTCCAGTGGGCGGGGACACCTGCCTGATCACTGGCCTTTAGGAGAAAAGAAACAGCGGGGTGCACTTCGATAACAAAGTAAGAAAAAGAGTCAGAGGTTGGTGTTTTGAAAGAAGCACGTAACCGGAAGCAGAGATGTATTGGGCGGGGCCAGGCGGAGCCGTGTCAGGGAACCAGGCTGAAGGGACAGGAAATTTCACCCTTCCGTGTTGGACGCCGGGAGCAGCGTCGTCCGGGACTGGTTGAGGAAGACCCGGCTGGGTATTCGGGACCTGAAATCTCCCCGGAGCCGCAGTCTCCGCCCGGGGCGGCCTGGGAAAGTCACCAGTCAGCAGCGCAGTGGCGGGAACCGCAGCCCGGCGGCCCTGGAACCTCCCAGGTCAGAGGAGCTGCGGGGCTGGGACACGGGAGGGGAGGGACCGGGGTGCGAGCAGTTTCTCTGCTGTTCATAAGGAAGCCGGCTCTGAAGTTCTGCTGTGGATGTCTTTCCGTTGTCGGTGAGGTTGAGATCCTATGAAGTGGGGTTTATCGTGATTTTTTTCTTTTATGGTTGCCAGAATGTTTTCACCATATAATCTCGTAGAGCATCTGCAGCGTCTGTAGTTTGCAAACGGGGTTTCTTTGATACCGTACCAGTTACAAAGCTAGATTTGAAATAAATCCATGGTTTCTTATTTCCCCGGTCCACTACTTGCCTATTCAGTAGGGTGGCCTTTGATCCGAGGAATAGGCTTCCCCAGAGAGCTTTTGTAGATTTTAGTCACATGAATAAGCTTTGTGGATTTAATTGAATCAGAAAATATACGTTATAAAGCACCACAGTTATAGTTGTAAATATTAACATTTACTGAGCAAAGTTTTGCTCCCTATTAATTTTTCACCTGAGATGTATGCACTCAATAAGAAATGTCTTCATATGCTTAGTTACTGATATTACACCTTAGGTCTGAAGGATAAACGAGGACACGACTACTTTAAATGTGGTTGAGGAGAAGGTTTATTATAGGTATGAGGGAGAAAATAGCCCGAGGCATCTGAAAGGGTCCAGAATGAACTGGTCCATGAGAGGGGAGAGAAGAGGAGAGAGAAATGAAGAGAAGTCGGGAGAGAGGCCAAGGAACCTGGAGCCTAGAGGCCAAGAGAGCACCTGGCAAAAAATGTCTGCTTTGATATGTTAATGGGCACTTAACTTAGCCATTTGTCATGTGTTTTTTGCCCTCTGATAAGGTCCAGGCAAGCCCAGTATAGGAGCTGTGAGAAGACATTATCAGGCCACACAAAGCTAGAAAGCGCCTTTTGAATATTTATGATCGGACACCTACAGCAGAAAAATGTCTCCTTGTTCTAGAAATGCACTCTGCCCTTGCTCATGTGGCAAAAGTGTTTATTTCCTGGTTTGTTGACATTCAGTGCTGTGACTGTGGACTTCTTGTAGGAGGAGTGGGAATGCCTAGACTCTGCTCTCAGGGCTTTTTTCAGAGATCTCCTCTTGGAGAAGTACAGCAGTCTGGTTCTGAGGGTCAGAGTAATTTTCTTGCAGTCTCCCTTGCTCTTTCTCAGGGTTCTTGGACAGACTACTCTGCATGTGTGTGAGGTGTGTGTGTGAATGAAGTTTCACATCCCATAAAGTGAGATCAGAGAAAAAGAGACGTTTTTCGTGATATTTTCTCTCTTCATGTTTATCCTTTGGCAGGTGTTTTCTTCTTTTGTTTTTGTTCCATGGAAAGTTCCAGGTGTTTTCTGAAGAATCCCTTCCCCATATGCAAGTCTCACATTGCTCAGTGAGTCCTGCTCACCTGTGGAGCAGAACAAAGAACCCTGCAAGGTGAAGAGAGAGGAGACAGTAGCAAAGGATCCAGGTATGCTAGAAGGATTGAGGAAGAGGTGGGGTAGGCGTCAAATGATGGTAAGAACAGGACGTGAAAGTGTTTTTTGGCAGATTCTGTTTCATTAATGATTATAGAAAATTTCACTGAAAAAAAATACTTGATGTTGTAATATGGATTTCCCATTATTGACTGTGTATTAAGCAGTCAATTGTTTTCAGTATTTGAAAAGTTATGAGTCTCTGACACGACTGTTGCCCATTGAAAACAAAGTTTCTTTGACCCAAGCTGAAAGCAGCACCCTGGATATGGGAGTGAACTGAGCCATTTAAAGGCAGGTTGAGTATTTGTACATGTAGCAAATATCAGTAGTGGATGCCTGCCTGGGCCTGTGACCTTCCTTATCGTTGCTTTTGACCAGGTTCTGTTATGATGAGAAAGGTCATGTTTGCACTCCAAATAGTTCATGAACACAAGTTCACTGGAGCTTTGATGTGCTGTATTTCACTTTCATCTTTACGCTGCTGTCATATTCCATGTTGCTGCTGTCAATTTCTCTGACCTTCTCTTGGAACCACCTTCAGAGAGGACATATCCCCTTTCTATTGCTGCTCATCAGGTCCCCCCTTTTTGTTGGGGGAGGGGGAGTGAATTCTCCATGTGTCTTCTGGTTTCTCCTGGGAAGGATTAGTGGAGATGTAGAGTGATGTTTCATTCCTTCTTCAAATTTGAGGATTTCTCTCCTGTTTCCTTGTATTGTAGCTTTCAGAGATACATTTTGTTGTCTTTGTATTGCTTTTTTTTTTTTTTTTAAAGATTTATTTATTTATTATGTATACAGTATTCTGCCTGCATGTGTCCCTGCAGGTCAGAAAAGAGCACCAGATCTCATTACAAGTGGTTGTGAGGCACCATGTGGGGGCTGGGAATTGAACTCAGGTCCTCTGGAAGAGCAGTCAGTGCTCTTAACCACCGAGCCATCTCTCCAGCCTTGTATTGCTCTTTTTTTTTCTTGTTTGTTTTTTTGTTTTTTCGAGACAGGGTTTCTCTGTGTAGCTTTGCACCTTTCCTGGAGCTCACTTGGTAGCCCAGGCTGGCCTTGAACTCACAGAGATCCACCTGGCTCTGCCTCCCGAGTGCTGGGATTAAAGGCGTGTGCCACCACCGCCGCCCAGTGCTCTTTTTTTTTTTAAAGGCTATTTTATTTTGGTTTTTCAAGATAGGAGTTTTTGTGTAGTCTTGGCTGTCCTGGGACTCACCCTGTAGACTGGGCTGGCTTTGAACTCAGGGATCTGCCTGGCACTGCCTCCTGAGTGCTGGGATTCAGGGTGTGCACCACTAGAGACAGACTGTCTCTGTATTGCTTTAATGCTCCTTTTATACTGTGAATTTCCTCACTTCATTTACTTGTTATTTTTCTTCCTTAGTTGATTGAGTATCTTCCAAATTCCACAAGGAATTTGTAAATACCTGTATTTGGTTTCTGGAGATTTTTTTAAGTTCTTTTTACTTATCTTGGTATTTGAAAATTCTCTTGATTTTTGTTCATATTTGATCATTTATGAAATTTGAGCCTCTTATTCCAAAATTATGGAAAAGTTGAGCAATTCTGATGAACTCATGGGGAAGAAACATAGAATGCCTCTGGCCTGTGACTGGGTAAGATTTACTGAGAGTGAAGGTAGTGATAAGGGCCATCTGCTCTCCCATATTTACCCTAAAGTTCTTCAATAAGAAATCATTGAAGCTGGGTGGTGGTGGCGCAAGCCTTTAATCCCAGCACTGGGAGGCAGAGGCAGTTGGGTCTCTGTGAGTTCAAGGCCAGTCTGCTCTACAGAGCGAGCTTCAGGACAGGCACCAAAGCTACACAGAGAAACCCTGTCTCACAAAACATTAACAACAACAAAAAAATTTCCTTTGGTGTTGGGGATTTAGCTTAGTGGTAGAGCGCTTGCCTAGAATGTATCCTAAGTTTTCTTTTTGCGTTTAAAGTATTTACTTATTTTTATTTTGATGCACATTGGTATTTGCCTGTGTCTATGCCTGTGTAAGGGAGTTGGGTCCCCTGGAACTGTAGTTACAGATACTTGTGAGCCACTATGGGAGTGTTGGCAATTGAACCCAGGCTCCCCTGCCCCATGTTTTTCCTGACCCTGTAGCTATGTTTTTTTGTTGGTAGAGATTCGGAAGAGAAGTTCTGATAGATAGACTTCTGTTTAATTCTTTTCAAAAATTAAGTATAGGAGTGTTCATCTACATGTTTTTATGTGAACAGCATGTGTGCATGATGCCCGGGGAGCCCTGAGGTAGCCACCAAATGCATGGCAAAATCGCAAGTTGCCTTGTGTCTAGAGAGTTAGACTGTTTCTCTTCATGAACAACAAGTGTCCTTTACCCCTGAGCTATCTCTCCAGTCCCCAGGTTTACATTTCTGGTGTAATTTCATGATGGAGCCAGTATGTAACACTGCAAATTCTACTTTTTGAGAATGTTAGAATAGAGTCAGTTGAGATGCAGCTGCAGACAGGATTGATCCAGTGTCAGTACTGTAGCAAGTCTAACAGTTGTAGAATTTAGAAGCAAAGTTTTGTCCATCATAACATCATCATCTGAAATAGGTACTGGGGTGCTATTTGTTATTAACACAGAGTTCTCAAACTACAGCTAGACCTCAAATGTATATCTTAATATTCCCTAAACGTTTGTTGACTCTGAGACTATTATGCCATTTTGATTTACGGAGATAGAAATTTCAATAAAGACTCTGACTATTTTAGAAAGTATCTTTTATTTTGTTGTTTTTGATACAAGGTTTCTCTGTATAGCTTTGGCTGTTCTAGAGCTCTTTCTATAGGTCAGGCTGGCCTCAAACTCATGGACATCTGCCTGCTTCTGCCTCTTGAGTGCTGGGATTAAAGACATGCACCACCACCATCCAGCAGAAAGTATCTTTTATTAAAATTACATTTCACATTTGTTTTTTGTGTGGGAGTGTATTTGCTTGGATGTATGCATACGTGCTGTGTATACCTCCTGCCTGTAGAATTTACAATTGAGCATTGGATCCCATGGAACTGGAGTTAAAATCTGTTCTGTAGTTTCATGAGGGTGCTAGGAACCAAACTATGTTTTGCCACATTATGTTTCTCTAGGAATGGTTCTGGAATATTGTACTGTAAATCATCTCATGATTATCCTATTGTATACATTACCCACTTTCTATGGGTAGATCCTGGTCTCACTGCTAGAGGCCTCACAAATGGACTAAACTGCACAACCTCCACCCACATGTAGAGGTACTAGATGGGTCCCATGCATGCCCCTAGCTATTGGTCTAGAGTCCATGAACTCTCATGAGCTTGGGTCAGCTGTCACTGTGGGTTTCCACATCATGATCTTGACTCCATTTGATCATAGAATCCCTCCTTCCTCTCTTCAGCTGGACTCTTGGAGCTCAGCCCAATGCTTGGTTGTGGATCTCTGCATCTACTTCCATCAGTTACTGGATGAAGGTTCTATGATGACAATTAGGATAGTCACTAGTCTGATTATAATAGATGGCCAGTTCAGGCACCCTCTCCATTACTACTAGGAGTCTTATCTTGGTTTATCCTTGTGGATTCCTGGAAGTTTCCATGGCATCAGGTTTCTCCTTAACACCCTATAATGGCCACCTCTATCAAGATATCTCTTTCATTGCTCTCCCTCGCCATTCCTATACCAACTTAGTCATCCCAATCCCTCATGTTCCTATCCCCCATCCTTTGCTCTCTATCCCTACCCCAGCCCCTGTTGACGCAATAGATCTCATCTATTGCCCCTTCCCAGGGTGATCCTTGCACCCCTCTTAGGGTCCTCCTTGTTACCTAGTTTCTCTGGGGGTAGTGGATTGTAGGCTGGTCATCATTTGCTCTGTATCTAATATTCACATATGACTGAATACATCTCCCAGGAATCCACAAGGATGACTGATTTCCAAAGTGTCTGTACAAATTTGCACTCCCACCAGCAGTGGAGTGTCCCCTTTACTCCACATCCTCTCCAACATAGGCTGTCATTAGTGTGTTTGATCTTAGCCATCTGACAGGTGTAAAATGGTATCTCAGAATTGTTTTAATTTGTATTTCTTTGATAGCTAAGGATGTTGAACAATTCTTTAAGTGTATCTTTGCCACTTGAGATTATTATGTTGAGAATTGTCTGTTTAAATTTATACTCCATTTTTTATTTTTTTTTAAAGATTTATTTATTATGCATACAATGTTCTGCCTGCATGTGTCCCTGCAGGCCAGAAGAGGGCACCAGATCTCATTACAGATGGTTGTGAGCCACCATGTGGTTTTGGGAATTGAACTTAGGACCTCTGGAAGAACAGTCAGTGCTCTTAACCTCTGAGCCATCTCTCCAGCCCTGTACTCCATTTTTTAAATTGTATTATTTGGTATTTTGATATCTAGTTTCTAGAGTTCTTAATCTGCTTTGGAGACTAGCCCTCTCTCAGATGTGGGGTTTGTGAAGATCTTTTCCCATTCTCTAGGCTGCAATTTTGTCTTATTAAAAGTGTCCTTTGCCTCACTGAAGCTTCTCAGGTTCAGGAGGTCCCATTTATATTCAATATCAGTGTCTGTGCTGCTGGTGTTTTATTCATGAAGTAGTCTCCTGTGCCAATGCACTTTCTCTTCTACCATGTTCAGTGTAACTGGATTTATGTTGAGGTACTGGATCCAGTTAGACTTGAGTTTTGTTTGTGCATGGCTATAGCTTTGGATCTATTTGTATAAGTCTACATTCTGCCATCCAGTTATGTCAGCATCATTTGTTGAAGATGCTTTTTATTTCTTTGTATTTTTTGGCTTCTTTGTCAAAAATCAGGTGTTCTCCTTATCCTCTGGCTTCCATCTCCCAAGTGCTGGGATACAGGCGTGCACCAAAACAACCAGCTTACTTGTATTTTCGTTCTTTTGAAGAAGATAAAAATAAAGCTGAAGTTGAGGGAAAAAGAGGGAAGCTGAGGTAAAAGAAAAAGGAAGTCAGGATGACGATGTCCTGAGTGAGGATGTTCCAAACTGAAGGTTCTTCTAGAAATGAACTTTTATATTGAGCACAAGGAATATTCAGGATAAACAGTCATGTGAGGATGCCAGGTCACTTTCTAAAGGGCACCTGGATTGTTCCTAGAATAACTTAGCTGGAAAACCACTGTAAAAATGGAGTCTGGAGACTTTTCAGGATTTCCGTACCTGGAATAAAGTACTCAGGAGGCAGAGGCACAGGAGGATCTCTGTGCATCTGAGTCTAATACAGTGTATGCAGTCAGTTCTAGGTAGTTGGGACTACACAGTGAGACCCTGTCTCGAAAAATACAATAAAGTGGCTCATGACACACTCTGGGCACGAGCTTCATCCTCAGAGGTTGCTGCCCCCCTCCCACCCACCCCCCAACCCCCACCCCCCAACCCCATTTCCTGACTGAATATATAACTCAGCCTGGCCTCAAACTCACTATGTGGCTCAAGCTGGTCTCAAATTCATTGTCATCTTTTTGCCTCAGGCTCACAAGTGCTAGGATTCTAAGTGTGCCTAGCTGATACTGCCATATTTGAAAATCAACCCTAAGATCAAGGGAATAAAGTACTTGTAAACTGAAAAAAAAATCAGGTGTTCATAGGTGTGTGGATTTATTACAGGGTCTTTGATTCGATTCCATTGATCCTCCTGTCTGTTTTTATGCCAATACCATGTGGTTTCTGTCACTATAGTTGTGTGATAGAGCTTGAAATCAGGGATGGTGATACCTACAGAAGTTCTTTTTTTTTTTTTTTTTATTTATTTTCCAGGATTGTTTTTGCTATTCTGCGTTTTTTGTTTTTCTTTATGAAACTGAGTAGTCTTCTTCTGAGGTGTGTGAAGAATTGTGTTGGGATTTTGATCAGGATTACATTGAATCTGTAGATTGCTCTTGGTAAGAAGCCTATTTGATCATGGTGGATAATTGTTTTTTTTTTTTTTTAAGATTTATTTATTATGTATACAGTGTTCTGTCTGCATATATGGCTGCAGGCCAGAAGAGGGCGCCAGATCTCATTACAGATGGTTGTGAGCCACCATGTGGTTGCTGGGTATTGAACTCAGGACCTCTTAACCACTGAGCCATCTCTCCAGCCCAGGATAATTGTTTTGATGTGTTCTCGGGTTTGGTTTGCCAATATTTTATTGAGTATTTTTGCATCAGTGTTCATGAGGGAGATTGATGTCTAATTCTCTTTCTAGTTGCATCTTTGTGTGTTGGGTGTCAGGGTAACTGTAGTCTCGTAAAAAGAGTTTGACAGTGTTCCTTCTGTTTCTATTGTGTGGGACAATTTGAGGAGTATTGATATTATCTCTTTGAAATTTTGGTAGAATTTTGCACTAAAACCATCTGGTCCTGGACTTTTTGTGGTTGGGAGACCCTTAATGACTGTTTCTATTTCCTTAGGGGTTATGGGTCTGTTTAAATTGTTTATCTGGTCTTGATTTAACTTTGGTATCTGGTACCTATCCAGCAAGTTTTCTATTTCTTTTAGATTTTCCAATTTTGTGGAGTGAAGTGTGACCTAATGATTCTAGGATTTCCTCAGTGTCTATTGTTATGTCCCTCTTCTTGCTTCTGATTTTGTTAATTTGGATATTCTCCTCTCCCTTTTGGTTACTTTGGATACCGGTTTGTCTATGTTGTTGATTTTCTCAAAGAACCAACTCTGTGTTTCATTGATGCTTTGTTTTTGTTTTGTTTTGTTTTGTTTTTTCAAGACTGGGTTTCTCTGTGTAGCTTTGCTCATTTCCTGGAACTCACTCTGTAGCCTAAGCTGGCCTCGAACTCACAAAGATCCTCCTGCCTCTGCCTCCTGAGTGCTGGGATTAAAGGTGTGTGCCACCACCACCCAGCTAATTGATTCTTTGTATTGTTCTCTTTGTCTCTATGTTATTGATTTCATTTCTCAATTAATTTCCTGTCATCTACTGCTGGTTGATATTGTTACTTTCTGTTCTAGAGCTTCCAGTTTCGCTGTTAAGTCTCTAGTGTGAGATGTCTCCAAATTTTTTATGTAGGCACTTAATGCTATGAACTTTCCTCTTTGCACTGCTTTCATAGAGTCTCATAAGTTTTGAGTATGTTGTGCCTTTATTTTCATTGAATTGTAGAAAGTCTTTCATTTCTTTATTTTTTCTTTAACCCAGTGGTGATTAAGTTCAGGGTTGTTCAGTGTCTATGCATTTTTAGGCTTTTTATAATTTGTGTTGTTGTTGAATTCTAACTTTAAACCATGGTGATCCAATAAAATACAGTGGGTTATTCCAGGATTTTTGTATGTATTGAGATTTGCTTTGTGACTGAGTATGTGGTCAATTTTAGAGAAGGTTCCATGAGGTGCTGAGAAGAAGGTATGTCCTTTTGTGTTTGGGTGGAATGTTTTATAGATGTCTGTTAGTCCATTTGGGTCATAACATTTGTTAGTTCTCTTATTTCTCTGCTAAGCTTCTGTCTAGCAGACCTGTCCATTGGTGAGAATGGGGTGTTGATGTCTCCCACTATTGGTGTGTTGGGTTTGTGTGATTTAAGCTTTAGAATGTTTCTTTTAGAAATGTGGGTGCTCTTTTATTTGGGGCATTAATGTTCAGAATTGAGACTTCATCCTGATGGATTTTTCCTGTGATGAATATAAAATGCCCTTCTCCGTCTCTTTTGATTAATTTTAGTTTGAAGTCTATTTTGTTAGATATTAAGATAGCTACACCAGCTTGCTTCTTAGGTTCATATGATTGGAAAAATCTTTTCTCAACCCTTTACTCTGAGTTAATGCCTGTCTTTTAAGTTTTCATGGATGCTTAAAACTTCCTTGGGTTGTTTGGAGTTGGAGTTTTTTTCTGTAGGGCTGGATTTGTACTTAGGTATTGTTTAAATATGGTTTTGTCATCGAATATCTTGTTTTCTCTGTCTATGGTGACTGAAAATTTTGCTGGGTATAGTATTCTGGGCTTGCATCTGTGGTCTCTTAATGTCTGCATAATGTCTGTCCAGAACCTTCTGGCTTTCAGAGTCTCCATTGAGAAATCAGGTGTAATTCTGACAGTACTGTCTTTATATATTAGTTGGCTCTTTTCCTTTGCAGTTTCTTGTATAATATTAGAGGGACCAGCCTTAATATTATATATCCCAGGGGCTCAAGAGAGAGAACTACTAATGGTGAGGACTATTTTTAGGAAATAGAATCTCTGCACACTGAGCTCTATAATCCACTTGCTTTAATTCCTCTGGTATAACATGCTATATACACAGCTTCAGTTCTAATATCTGGAAATCTTTCAGTGAAGTAGGTAGTTCCATCAGGGGTCTCACAGTCTAGATTGGTATGTTGTAATAGGGCCTTTGTAAGGGGGTCTAAGAATTGAGATTGGTTTCCATGTTTGTCCTGGTTGAATTCCTAGTTTTGTTTTGTTTTGTTTTTTTCTCATTATTTACTGCTTTAAGAGCCGCTTTGTGGAGACTGGCTAGGAGTCAAGATATAAACTGATCCTTAGCAAGGATGTATGCTGGGGTATTGTAATTCCATTCAGGGTCCTGGTCAAGGAATGTTTTAGCTCTGGTTGGGTGGTGGTATTAGTTTTGAGTCTTTTGCCTGCATGTGCCCTGTCCTGGTTCAGATTTGACTTGTAATCCTTGGGGTTGGTGAAAAACAAAAAAAGCCCAGGACCATATGGTTTCAGTGCAAAATTCTACCAGAATTTCAAAGAGCTAATACCAATACTCTTCAAATTCTTACACATAATAGAAGCAGAAGGAATATTACCAAACTCTTATTATGAGGCTACAGTTATTCAGATACCCAAACCACATCAAGAAAGAGAATTACAGACCAACCAATCTCCCTCATGAACATTGATGCAACAATACTCAATAATATACTGACAAACCAAGTCTAAAAACACATCAAAGAAATTATCCACCATGACCAAGTAGGCTTCATCCCATGTAAGGATGGTTCAACATATGAAAATCTGTCAATGTAATACACCATATAAACAAACTGAAAGTAAAAACAAACAAACAAAAAACCAACCACATGATCATCTCCTTAGATGCTGAAAAAGTCTTTGGCAAAATCCAACACCCCTTCATGATAAAGGTCTTGGACAGATTACAGATACAAGGAACATGTCTAAACATAATGAAGACAATATACAGCAACCCAACAGCCAATGTCAAACTAAATGGTGAGAAACTCAAAGAGCAATTCCACTCAAATCAGGAACAAGACAAGGCTGTCTACTTCTCCCCATATTTATTCAATATGGTACTTGAAGTTCTAGCTGGAGCAATAAGACAACAAAAGGAGATCAGGGGGATACAGATTGGAAAGGAAGAAGTCAAAATTTTGCTATTTGCATACAATATAATAGTCTACATAAACGACCCTCAAAATTTTAGGAGATGATGTTTTTGGGTGTAGTGATTAGGTTCATAGTCATTTTCTTTCTCCACTCTAAATGTATCCTGTGCTCTCCTGTCTATAGGAACATTGAAAAGATTTCTGGTATCATTTTAATTTTGAGATCTTTTTTGGTTTTGCATTGTTCAGAAGAGAGTTGGATTAATTTTAGCTTTGTATTTTTGATACCTTGATATGAAATTTCAGCAAGAATTCTAGTTTTTGGTCCAGAGATAGAAACTCAGAGAAGAGCAACAAGAAGAATGAATACTTCTTCGGTAAATGCTTCCCAGGTCAGTGTCATGTTTTGCATTTTTTGAAAGTTGTTCTTGTTATTTAAACCAATTAAGACTTTAATTCTTTACCTCTAGTAATGTTATCTAAAGTGTTTGTTTTTTTATGATTTATCTTCCCTTCCTTCTCTGGTTATCAGTAGTAAGTCTGTAGATCTTTAACATAGCACAGCCCTTTCTCCTTATATTTTCATTTCATGTTTTAATAGACTGAAGACTTGCCATTGTGAAAGAGAATATACTGCAAATGGTACTCAAAGAAGATATTGATTCCCTTATCTATATAGGATGGACTTTGTCCTTTTATATTAATGAGGAAGGAAATTCTCATATGCTAGGTCAGGTTTCCAGAACTATACTCATGAATGTGGACATGCAAATGCATGGATTTGATGACATCACTGAGCAATTTATGGAAAAGTTCAGTTAGAAGAGTTTCACTGTCTTTATCCCAATAGTAAATATGTCAGCACCCTGGAGAGTATTGATGATGGAAGTAATAAGTGGCTTACTTCTTAGAAAAAATTGATGAGTCTGTGATCACATGCAAAATGCAGTGTACTAGTTTCTCTCTTTGACATGTATCACACAGTGCTGATGAGTGTGTTGCCACCTGAAATCTATTCATCTGTGAAGTCCTGATAATATTCTTAATGCTCAGTTGTAAATTGTCAATGGACCAATGATGATTTTCTCCTTTCCTTTTTTTAATTTTCAGAAAGGTATGAGCACGAGAGTGTCCATCTTTACATTTTATCGCGTGGCATATATTACTAAGAATTTTCCGGAGAGAATTGAATTGGTGCTGTGCATAAGCCATCAATTTTGAAGCATAAATAAATGTCCCATTTTTCTCTTCCTTGTTTTTGGAAGGATAAGCCTGCCTACACCCTGATTTTCCTTGGCCTGGGGCTATGTATTATATAGGGTGAGATTCTGAAGTATTGAGGCAATGGAATAGTTTCTATTTCTCTTTTTACAAAAATATTTAAGTATATGTGTGTTCTTCATATTTTTATATGCACAGCATGATGCATTATGCACCTGCATCCCTGATTTTGGGACTAAAGCCTTGGCACTGGAATCAGACAATGTAATAAGCTGCCATGTGTGTAGATAAAATTGAACTATATTTCTCTGCAGGAACTGCAAATGCCTTTACCTCTCAGCCATTTCTCTAACCCCAGGGTTTACATTCCTTGTATATTTGTAAGGCAGATGATATACAACCTTGCATCTTCTAGTTTTTGAGAAATGAAGGCAGAAGTATCAATGACACTTAACTATGTAACCTAAAATCCTGTTAGATGCCTGAGCTCAAATATTGAAGAAAAGAGTTGAAATGAAAAGATTTGAGTTTTCAGTTGAGCCAATCTCAAGAGTAGTATTGTGTTCAAAATTAATCAAGAAGTAGTGTGATTCTTACAAAGCTTAATATATTTGTTTCAATCAGAGAACACATTTCTACTTGATCTGCATGCATTGTCCCAGGTTCCATTTTTCTAAACACATTTCTAACTATTTTGCAGTGAAACACCATATAGAGTTCATGATATTGTTATCATCCATACTGTTGTCAATTTTTAGAAAAATTTATATAATATTAATTCTATTTCTGATTTTTCTGTTTACTTAGTGGTTGTGAAAATATTGTCATAAAATAACTGTGCAAAGTATTTGAGTCTATGTGTTGTTTGGAACATTGGATGTATATGCTGATGTTATACTCCTTTCTGTTTAAAGAAAACACTCTTATTTTAATTCATACAAGGATTCTGCATTCCATATTCTATATCTTGGTTTTAGAAAGGTTCCAGCATTTCACCTAGGTTTCAGGATCTCAATTGAACATACTAGAATATCGTATGGTGTGGCCCAGCTACAGATAGGATTGATTCAGTGTCCGTAGTTGAGTTGAGTTGTTGAATTTGAAATCACAGTTCAGTTTTGCTCCTAAGTTAGCTATCTGAGACTGACCCAGGGACCCTATTTGATTCTAACATACTTCATAAAGGTAAATTTCTGCATTTAGACCCCACATATGTTATATTTCCTAACAGATTGCTTATTGTGATGCTATTAGTACTATCCTATTTTCATAGAAATAGAAGATACTATACAGAATATGACCATTTTACATACATTTTATTTATTTAATTTGTTTTATGTGCATAGGTGTTTTCTTGCATTTAAGTATAATTAAATTTCAATTTTATTTTATGTATGTGGGTAAATGTGCCTGAATGTATTAGTGTATGCTATGTGTGCCCCTATCTGTTTAGTTCAGAAGTGAACATGGAATTCCATGGAATTGGTGCTATAATCTGTTGTGTAGCACAAGGGTGCTGGGAACCAAACTACATTTTAAAGGACTATAAAAGTCATTACAGAATCCAAACAACAGAGACTATTTCAACTGTAGTGATTGTGGCAAGTCCTTTATCTGCTACTCAGGTCTTAGTAATCATCAGCAAATTCATGAAGGAGAGAGACCTTAAGAATGGAAGCAATGTAATAATTCTTTCATTACATTGTCTATGGAAGAGAAGCAGTGATTAACCTCTAACACATTTCTACAGCCTTGCTAGAAAACTTTGTCTTTGAATAACTGTTATGCCTCATCTACTTCACAGAAGTGTCTAATTTTTTTTCCTTGAGTCAGGGTTTCTCTGTGTAGTTTTGGTTCCTGTCCTGCATCTTGTTCTGTAGACCAGGCTGACTTTGGATTTACACAAATTCACCTGGCTCTGCCTCCCACGTCTTGGGATCAAAGTCATGCACCACCACCATCCAGCAGAAGTATCTAATTCTTTAGGCTCTGTTACCTAGGAACACATTTTGTACAGCAGCAATGGTATATGGTTATTTTTCTCTTGCAGAGTCTGTTAACATTCAGGGATGTGGCTGTGGATTTCTCACAGGAGGAATGGGAATGTTTAGATTGTGCTCAGAGGGCATTGTACATGGATGTAATGTTGGAGAATTACAACAATCTAGTCTTTGTAGGTAAGAATGCTCTTCTAGAACCCCTGACTCAGTCTTTTTTTATTTTCACCCATTGTTTATATGTAATTTCTCTGAACTGTCTAGATACAGAAATAAAGAAAAATTCTGGTTGTCAGCATAGTTTTTTTTCATGGTACCTCCTTTATATTTTTCTGTGTTCTATAGAAGCATAAACAATGATATATTCTATATAATCTCTCCATCCTTCCTGCCCAGTTTTTAAAGAAAATTTCTTAAGTTCAATGAAAATTGAATATTCAGAGCATGGAAATATGTTGCAGTATACAGAATAATTGGAATATTTTGATTGTACTATTGGATTCAACTATTGAATTTTTTTATTTTTACAGTTCAAGAGGTTTTAAGTGAAACTGGAGCATGGGTTTTTGTTTGTTTCTTTTGTTTATTTAGTTTTTGTGATGTGTTCTCTATGTTTAGCCCCGAGAATGCGTGATTTTAACGCTAGCAGTAGGGATGCAGAAGCCAAAGATATGTTGTGTTCCATCCATACTGGGGTTGCATAATGTGTTCTTAGCTGACTAAAGCTATCCAGTATGGCTATGTCTCAAAAACATACAGGAAAATAGATAAACTTTGTTCATGTGATCTTTCAGGAACTCCTCTAATCATTGCTTGATCACTTGTTTGTTCTATGTTCTGTAAAGTACACTGTTTAGATAAAAAGGAGAAAGTCCTTTTGGTTTGACATAGGTCACACTGGAGGTTCTTTGAAGCATCCATTTAATGATGTGAGACAGAATAGACCTCTGGTTAGAACTCTTATCACTGAGAATTGCTAGTTTATATATGTCATACAAAACTTAAGGCAAATCAGTTATGAAATCTCTTACTCATGCTTTAATCCCTGTTTTCCATCATTGTGGCAATTTTTCAGGTGAAAATCAAAGAGTCCACATAGGAAACAAAGAACAAAAAAATACAGACCTTGATAAATCTTTTGACTCTCAACATAAACTCACACTGGAACAAATCAAGAGTAGAATGAAACTACACCAAAGCTGGAAAAGTGGAAACTGCTTCAAGACAGACTCAATCCTTGGTAGACATCAGAGAGCTTATACTAGACAGAAACCCTATAAATGTACAAAATGTAGTAAATACTTTACACATTTTTCACAACTCAAAGTACATTGCAAGTTCAATTGTGGAGAAAAATCCTACAAATGTACAGACTGTCCTAAGTGCTTTTACCAGACATCAGAATTTAAAAGACATTGCAGAATTCATTCTGGAGAGACTATTTGCAATTATAGTGAATGTGACAAATCCTTTATCAGCACATCATCTCTTAGAATGCATCAGAAAATTTGTCCTGGAGAGAAACCTTATGGATATGGTGAATGTGATAAATCCTTTATCTGGAAATTGAATCTTGGGTCTCATCAGAGAAACCATACAGGAGAGAAACCTTACAAATGCAGTGAATGTAATAAATCCTTTACTGATAGAGGTGGTCTTAATACTCATCTGAGAATGCATACAGGAGAGAAGCCTTACAAATGTACTGAATGTGAGAAATCCTTTACCACTTCCTCACATCTTAGAACTCATCAGAGAATTCATACAGGAGAGAAACCTTACAAATGCAGTGAATGTGACAAATCCTTTGTCAGTTCCTCAGATCTTAGAAAACATCAGATAATTCATACAGGAGAAAAACCTTACAAATGCAGTGAATGTGGTAAATCCTTTAACCACAGAGGCACTCTTACTTCTCATCAGAGAATGCATACAGGAGAGAAACCTTACAAATGTATTGGATGTGACAAATCTTTTACCACTGCCTCACAATTCAGAAGTCATAAGAGAATTCATACAGGAGAGAAACCTTACAAATGTAGTGAATGTGAGAAATCCTTTACTTGTGGCTCATACCTTAGATTGCATCAGATAATTCATACAGGAGAGACCCCTTTTAAATGCAGTGAATGTGATAAATCCTTTACCCAAAAACGCTCTCTTAGAATTCATCAGAGAATTCATACTGGAGAGAAACCTTACAAATGTGGTGAATGTGTCAAATCCTTTGTCAGTTGCTCTGAGCTTAGAAGACATGAGAAAATTCATTCAGGAGAGAAACCTTACAAATGTATTGGATGTGACAAATCTTTTTCCACTGACTCACAATTCAGAAGTCATCAGAGACTCCATACAGGAGAGAAACCTTACAAATGTACTGAATGTGACAAATCCTTTATGCAGAAAAACAGTCTTAGAATTCATCAGAGAATGCATACTGGAGAATCACCTTACAAATGCACTGTGTGTGATAGATCCTATTGTCATAGTAGCAGTCTCATTGCTCATCAGAGAATACATACAGGAGAGAAACCTTACAAATGTAGTGAATGTGACAAATCCTTTATCAGTTCCTCAGAGCTTAGAATTCATCAGAGACTCCATACAGGAGAAAAACCTCACAAATGTACTGAATGTGACAAAGCCTTTTCTCGGAAAGACCATCTTAGAACTCATCAGAGAACGCATACAGGAGAGACACCTTACAAATGCACTGAGTGTGGTAAATGCTTTTCTCATAGTGGCAGTCTCATTTCTCATAAGAGAATACATACAGGAGAGAAGCCTTATAAATGTATTGAATGTGAGAAATCCTTTACCACTGCCTCACATCTTAGAACTCATCAGAGAATTCATACAGGAGAGAAACCTTACAGATGTGGTGAATGTGTCAAATCCTTTGTCAGTTGCTCTGAGCTTAGATCGCATTGGAGAATTCATACAGGAGAGAAACCATTTAAATGTGAGTGTGACAAATCCTTTTTTACTAGCTCTGCTCTTAGAAAACATCAGAGAATTCATGCAAGAGAGAAACCTTAGAAATGCAGTGAATGTGAGAAGTCCTTTACCACAAAAGCCAATCTGAGAATTCATCAGAGAATTCATACAGAAGAAAAACTTGTATTGACTGTGACATTTTTTTTACCACTGCTTCACATCTTAGAATTCATCAGAGAATTCATGCAAGAGAGAAACCTTACAAATACAGTGTTTGTGACAAATCCTTTATTGATGGAGGCAACCTTAGAACTCATCAGAAATTTCATACAGGAGAGGAACCTTTAAAGTGTAGGGAATGTGACAAGTTCTGTACCACTGCCTTACATCTCATAATTCATTATAGAATTTATGCAGGTGAGAAACCTTACAAATGCATTGAAGGTTACAAATCATTTATCCTAAAGGGCCATTATAGAATTTATCAGAGAATTCAGACAGGAAAGAAACCTTACAAGTCTAGTGAATGTGACAAATCCTTTAGCAAGAAAGGCCATCTTAGAGCTCAGTAGAGAATCGATACAGGAGAGAAACCTTACCAATTTAGTGAATGTGACAGGTCTTTTATCAGTTGCTCAGATCATAGAAAACAGAATCCATACAGAAAAGAAACTCCACATATGTATTGGATGTAAAAAACCATTTTTCAGTGCTTACATCTACTTGACGACAATAGAGTATTCATACACTAGAGAAACCTTACCAATATATTAAATGCTGGAAATCTTCGTCACAAAATCAGACTGAGAACACATCAAAGTATTTTTAAAGGAAGAGAAAATTTACCATGTACTATGTGAGGAAAAGCCTTTGCTGTTTCTCAGGTCTAATTGTCAATATAAGAAAGTTATAAAAGCTTTTCAGTAGCATTCAAATCTTAGAATACATCCAGAAATTATAATGAGGGAAATTCTGAACATGTTACAATGTAGGAAATTTTCATTAGAACTTTTTATACTTATGCAACCTTAAGTTCTTCATAATGAAGATTAAAAAAAAATCAAAACCTGGAGAATGTGCTGTTGTATAGCATTTTCCTGAAGACGTGTGTTTTGTACAGGAAGTCAGAAAATGTACATCTAAAAAATCTTCAAGAAATCCTTGAAACTGATGGGATTCAGTGTGCTTTAATCAAATGAAGAAACCCAGAACCTACTACTTGAAGAGCACTTGAGAAAATAGTCCAAAAAGATAGGATACTCTTTAACTAGTAGATATGCTTACGAATGTGCAGTGTGCTCCCGATATACTGTATGTATATGTTGTTTCCCATGCTGGTGTAGAATTTCATGATAACTGTCTTTGAGTCCCGTGTGTTCCAGTAAGCAACTACTTCCTGCTGCTCCTGTACCAACCCTAATAAAGCTTGTTGGTTCAACATGGTTGACTTGGTTCTCTTTTCAGTTCCCTGTTGGGTTATGCAGTAGCATATATGTGTTGCATCTCCCCAGAAAATGCATCTCCTTACATATGTGCTTAGGCAAATGTTCCTCCAAACTTGCTGTGTAACAGAAAATAGATAACAGAAAGCATTTGAGTCACTAAAGTAGGTAAGATTGTTTTTGCTTACTGCTCCTGGTTGGCTGCCTTAATAACACTTGGTTAAGTATGGCATACTATTTGTGTTCTGACAAATAACACTTGCCTGGAGATCAAAGGGTGTAGCTAGACACTGGTATCCATAAGAGCCTGTCATTGTAGGTTCATGCCTTTAATGTCAGCACTTGAGAGGATCTTTTCTTGAATCCCAGCACTATGGAAGTAGAGACATGAATCAGGAATAGAAGACAGGTGGAGATAGGATACCCCCCCCCCCAATTCAGTCAGAGGATTTGGAGGGTTCAGCAGTGACTGTGGCAGCTTTGCTTCTCTGATTTTTCAGCCTTTTTCCTAATATGTGTCTCTGGGTTTTTATTCTTAAGACTTAATTTATTAGGCTATACTGTGTAGCCTAAGAGAAAGATTGTTGTCTTCCTTGATAAGCAATGCATAAGAACAAATGAAAAATAGCCACAAACTGTTTAATGAGAAAAATCTCCCGAACTGGGCTTTTTCCTTAAGTAGCTCTGAACTTCTACATGATTCAACCAAATTCCAATCACCCTCAAAATAAGGGTACCCATGGTATAATATTGTACACCATTGTTGTGATCTCCTGTCTTGGTGTTCCTTAAAATTCCATTCTACATTCCCCAAGGAATACATTGAATTTCAGTTCTTTTTGTTAATTCATTTAAAAATGCTAATATTGTAGACATCCCTGAAAAGTCTCATGAAGCATAACTCATTAAGAAAGTTTTACAAGGGACTCATTTTCTGTTTAATGTCATGGGCCAGTCAATCTGTACAAATCATGAAACTATGAATCTTATAAGAGAAAAACCTATGAACTAGACACAATGTCCATGCTTATGTTAGCTTAGAAATCCACACAAAATTTTTCTGGAAGAATATTATTATGTACTGAGAAGTGCTGAAAAATATTTAGTCCCACTCCAAAGCATTTTATTCATACTAAAAATAGGAAGACTCAGCTTTTAGACCTTAGACAAGGCAGGATGTCTTGCAACTCTGGAGGTGTCCTGACTATTTGAGGAGTCAGGCAACACCTTGAGCTACTAGGACAGCTCTGACAGCTGGAGCCGCAATGAGACAGCTCAGCCCTGGAGGTGAGGTATCCTGACTGCTCAGGATAATCAGGCCTGGAGCCGCTAGGACAGCTCAGCCAGAAACGGTATCCTGACTGGGAGTCAGGCTATACCTGGTGTGGTGGCGGATGGTCTCCCCACAGGATATAGCAATCCTGGTCCCCCTGGAGAGCCACTACAACTAAGCTTAGCTCAGCTCCCACTTAAGGGGGCTTCCTGCCTGAGCTCTACCTCTTCTCTGCCCTAAGATGTTACTTCTTTTGGTTCACTCTGCCAAAGTGGAGAACCCTGCAGAAATGTAGCAATCTCCTCTGGTTCTGGTGAATAGTGCTACTTTTTTCAGTTGCCACTTGCTCAGCCCCCTGAGGGATGTCTCAGCAAGGTCCTTCTCTCCAGGTCCCCTTTTCTCAGCCCCCTGAGGGACATCTCAGCAAAGTTCTTCTGTTTAGCTTCCCTTTGCTGAATTCCCTGAGGGATGCCTCAGCAAGGTTCTTCTCTGCACTGGTGAATGAAGATCTTCACACCCAAAACTCTTGAGAAAGATTTATTTGGGAAGGAGAAGTCCAGGAGAGTGGCTGCCTCTCCCAGGGTTAACAGAACAGCCCACAACTGGCCAGGCAGGGCGGTTTATATAGGATGTTTTGGGGGCAGAGTCAACCAGGGATTGGTTAAGTTTTTTTCTGCTCAAGGATTGGTCACTTTTGTGGGTTACGTGCAGAGATAGCCCTCATTTTTGAGCCAAACTGTTTCTTTCACTTGCCTTTCTTAGATTTTTTTTTTTACTCTAGTTCTATGGCAAGGGCCTATTTCTTTCACTGGCTCTAGTTCTAGGGACCAATAGTGTTTCTTTGGTACTAGTTTCAGAGTCAGAGCATGTTTTTTTGGTTCTAGGTTTGAGGATAAATTGTTTCTATCTCTGCTTCTGGGTTCCAGGGTCAGGGTGGGTTTTTTTAGCCAGCCCCTTTCTCCTAAAATTTTCACAGATTTTATTATAAAAGAAGAAAGTCTTAGTCAACATGAGAAAATATTGTTTGCAAACATTTTGCTGTTCAGTATTGGAGTTTGTGGACACATGAGCTCATGGTTAGTAATCTTGGTTAAACTTGGGCTGTTGGTTTCAAATGGTCATAGACAATTTGTATCAAAGCTGCTGCAACAGGGGTGCTGAACCTGAGAAAGGAGACAGTGGAAAGTTAGACTTCTGTACTGGCCCTTAACATTATGAACAGTGCAATCAGGTGGATAGACTTTTGGGATTTCAGTTCAGGTGGTCAATGGATTGAGACCCCTCTGCTTGATGACCTTGAGATTATTACTCTAATTTAGCACAGATTTTATGGTGGTGTGGCAAAATTGTAAGATTGTATGCAATGAAAAGACAGGTCACCTTTTACCCATCACAATATTTTCTTCATTTTTGACTATTTATGCACTCCATTCTTATATATTATGACAGGAAGCATGTGACAAAGCTGTATACATCGGGTTCCGAGTATGCTGACACCTTGATCTATGTGGAAAAGAGCATGGATAGAATGGGATATATGGGACTGGAGAGATGGCTCAGAGGTTAAGAGCCCTGGCTGTTCTTCCAAAGGTCCTGAGTTTAATTCCCAGCAACCACATGGTGGCTCACAACCATATGTAATGAGATCTGGTGCCCTCTTCTGGCCTACAGGGATACATGCAGACAGAACACTGTATACACAATAAATAAATAAATCTTTAAAAAAATGGCATAGATGAATATTAGTGGGGCAGGGACAATTACCTTATCAGAGGAGTGATGGCAATTGAAACAGGCTTGGTTGGTTTGGAAAGTTCAGCAGCATTTGTGGAAGTGCCTCATAAAAACCAGATTACAGGAGCCTGAGTGCAATCCCCAGAGGGATTACTAGGGGCTACATTTTTAGGAACCCTATAAGACTCAGACATGAGAAGTCATGAGTCAACTGTGCCTTGGTGGGGACAGAAGTTCACTAGAGCTGGAGGGCAGGCAAATGTGCAGGGTGGACTGGAACAGGAGTACAATCTGTACCTGCTTCTGTGTATGAGAACACTCCCTCTTGAAATCATGTTGTGGGTACCCAAGTATGTCAGTAAAATGTAATTCGTATGACCTAGGACTTACTGGGATTATTTTATTTTTTATTATGTGTGCCTGAATATTTACAGAAGAATAATCTGTAGAAGGATTTCCATGGTTCTCATGGTATTATTGCAATTACATAACACTTGAATTTAAACTCATCAATGCTTTCTACCTCCCCTGTTGTATCACTAGCATATTTGAACAGGTGCTCTTATTCCCTGGAGATTAGGCATTCACTGAGAGTTTATTAGAGACTACTACCACAAGGAACCAGTGCATACTTGATTGAATCTGAAAGTATATTAAGTCCTATAATAATCTTTAAAAATATTACTATCTACTGGGTAAATCTTATTGCACATTAATTTTCCATCTGGAGCATATGTGGACTAGAATGTAAATACCAAGTTCAGAAATGTGTCTTCATTTTCTATATTTTTTTAAATTTAATATTTATTTATATTTATTTATTTATTTATTTATTTATTTATTTATTTATTTATTTATTTATACAGTGTTCTGTCTGCAGGCCAGAAGAGGGCAACAGATCTCATTACAGATGATTATGAGCCACCATGTGGTTGCTGGGAATTGAACTCAGAAGTTCTGGAAGAGCAGTCAGTGCTCTTAACCTCTGAGCTATCTCTCCAGCTCCCAAAATTTATTTTTATGTAGTATGTGTATATGTACACCATATGTACAGGTGTCCATGGAGACCAGAAGAGTGTTGGAGTTCCTGGAGCTGGAGTTAAAGGCAGTGGTCTTCTGGAGCTTAGTCTTCTGGAAGAACAGAAAGCATGCTTAACTGTTAAGCCATTTCTCTAGTCCTGTACAATTACTTCTTTTACAAGAGATGCTCCATTTCCAAGGAAGAATATGACAATATGTGAAAATATATTCCCAAATTCTTCCCCTTGGGACAGTGTCTAAAAGACAGGTATCACATGGGCTGTGGACAGAGGATATGATTTGCTGGTTCTTTGGTTGTTGCTGTCATTGGGTTTTAGTTTGGTTGGTTTTGAAGACCAGGCTTCACTGTGTACTCCAGGCTGGCCTCAAACTCATGGCTATCCTCCTGCTTCAGCTTTACTAGTGTTGGGATTACAGGCATGAGCCACCATGCCCAGTTAGAAGATACAATTGAATCCTACCTCCCCCTCCCCCTCCCATCCCCATTCACAGGATTAGCCACCAGAATTCCTGTCTTTTACTTTCCTTTAATTAATTGATTTTTCTAGTTTGGCTTCTGTGTGTTTCCCTTTTGGTTCTGATGTATTTTAGCCCAGGATTGTGTCTCTGGCCTCTTGCTCTGTCTGTTCCACAGATCCCTGTCAAATTCATCAAGGCTTGGCCTAAGCCTGAGCAGGTCAGATCCCTTATCAAAGCGTTCTGCAGAAACTCCCTTTCCTGATGAATCAGATTATCACTGGACAGACATCGAGTCCCTTCTCACACTATCTCCATCACCATTCCAACTTCCTAGGTGATCCTAGCTCCCTCCCATATGAGCAGAAGTTGCTCCTCCTGTGACTCTGAGCTCCCCCCTCACACACAGGTCAAGGAGGAGGAATGAGTAGAGGAGAGTTGAGTCTCTGTGCTCCACAGGGGTAGAACTTGATGATGTCTGGCCAACTCCAT